CTGTTCTGACTCTCGTGACTCTCCTGGTATCTGATTCGGCTTGTGACTTGACTATTCTTTGTATTCTCCTTTGATCTGACCCTCTGTTGCTGAACCCGGCTCGTGACCTGTGATTCTCGTCTGCTGTCCTGTACTGTTTTGTCCTGTTGTTGTTGACCCGGCTTGTCTGACTACTCTTTTGTCTCTTCCACCAGCTACACGCCATTGGCGGCAGCCATTACCGCAGCTGAGGTGTCTCGGGGGCCGCGACCTGGTTCCTGGCTGCGTCAAGTCTATCCCCACCATCAGGGGCCCTGGTGAAGGGCAGCCTGGGACTTAGACTCCGCGCCCTGAGGGACTTCGGTCTGTGGGTGGTGGTTGTCGTCAGCCAGTGCGTTACATTGTTAGGCCTGCCTGTCCGTTCCTCAGCTCCTGCCCTGACACCCCAGTAAAAAATCTGCGTTGATGAGTCCCTTATTAATTTTTCTGTCCGCCTTGCATGCAAACTATTTTTTCCCAGCAAGCATGCAAGATATGGGGTCAGGATGTAAAAGACCTGTGTGAGGGCAACAGGCTATACATATAAGTATTGGATTTCCGAGGGAAAAGATAGTCACATGGAGTCCCATGGATGCCCCGACTACATGGGGAGCAGTGGCAAGATAGTTTGGGACCTGGTGTCATCTTTTTTCCATATGGGGGTACCACTTATACGTGGACAATTTTTATTCAAGCGTGCCACTGTTTAGACATTTGTACAATCTTGGACTAGCTACGTACTGGTACATCACTGGACTTTGAGTGGTTATGCCAGGATGATGCCTGCAGCTGCAGGCATCATCCTGGTATCATTTTTTTCAGCAGATGATCGACTTTCATGTAAAAGCAATCCTAGTGGCTAATTAGCTGCAGGATTGCTTTTACAAGCAGTGGGAGAAGATTCCCCACTTCCCCCGCTGACTTCCACGGCCTTCTCGAGCAGTCCTGTGCCATCGGGGGAACTTGAGAATGCAGCCATTTTTTCTGCTAGCTGACCATAGAGCTGATTGGAGACCGGAATGGTGTCAATTATCTCTATAGTCTAAGAACTCGCAAGCTATGAGCATTTCATCACTTCAGTTTCTCAAGATATAAACAGCGCCATTTGTAAACTGGGAAAGCATCTGATCACATCAATCTTGGTAATATTAGATAATGTAAAGGCATAGGAGATATCTAGAGTCTGATAGACCCCAGATTTCTGAAAAAAGAATACATGACAATGTCCATTAACAATATAGGGGATGTTTGCATTCCCTGTGATAGCATTAAAAGTGATTAAAAAAAAATGAAAGGTACAGTGTAAAAATAATTAAAAAAATTAAAATAACTTAAAAAAATAAAAAAAGAGCACCCTTGCCCCCCCCCCCCCCCCCTCCCCACATGTGCACCTGTGTGCGTGAGCATTGACCCTGTACCAGTATGTAAACAGCAGTTGCACAATGCATGTGAGGTATCGGCACAAACTTTAGATCAAGGACAGTAATTCTAGCACTAGACCTCCTCTGTAAATCTAAAATGGTAGCTTGTAAAGGCTTTTAAAGCATTGCCTATGGATATTAAAAATGTATGCAGTTTGTTGCCATTGCACGGGGCATGTGCAGTTTTAAAGCTAGTCATGTTTGGTATTTATTTACTCAGCATACCATCATCTTTTATACTTTAACAAATAATTGGCCAATATATTGTGTTTTTGTGCATTAAAAGTAAAAAAAAAGTGTTTTTTTATTTTTAAATTTGCGTTTTAAAAATTGCTGCGCAAGTACTATGTGACATAAAAAATTTCAGCACCCACCATTTTATATTCACTAGAGTGCAGGGGCGGACTGACCATTTGGAAACTCGGGCACTGCCCGAGGGCCCGGGGTCAGAAGGGGGCCCCATGAGTTGCCCCTGGTACCTTTTTCATAGTTTTTTTTTAGTTTGGGCAAAGACACAGGGGCCCCATGATCCCCTATTGCCCGGGGGCCCCATGAGTTGTCAGTCCGCCCCTGCTAGAGTGTCTGCTTTAAAAAAAAATATATAATGTTTGGGGGTTCAAAGTAATTTCCTAGCAAACAATACTGATTTTTTTTCATGTGAACATAAAGGGGGAGATTTACTAAGGCTGGTTCACTCAATCTGGTGCTGCTGTGCATGATAGCCAATCAGCTTCTAACCTCAGGTTGTTCAGTGAAGCTTTAGCAATAAAACCTGGAAGCTGATTGGTTTCTATGCAGAAGTGCATGAGATTCTGAGTGAACCAGCTTTAGTAAATAAACCCCAAAGTGTCAGAAAAGACTTGATCTTCAGGTGGTTAGAAGAGTGAATGATGTGTGGCATAAACTTCTATTGCTGGACATAAAGTGCCCCCACCTCCCAAAACGACCCCCTTTTGGAAAGTAGACACCCCAAACTATTTGCTGAGATTCATGTTGAGACAATAGAATTAATTTGTTTACCACAAGATTTTGGAAAATGACAAAAACATTTATTTTTTGTCATTTAAATGATTTATTGCTCACACATGTAACACTGCTCACACACACATACAAGTGTTACAATGCACCCACCATTCGATTTTTAGACTCATCATTTCTTTGTGAGTGGACAACATTCAAAATCAGCAGGAGATCAAATACTTATTTCCTTCACACATGCCATGGGTATATGTGGAATTACAAAATACTCACCATGCCTCTTTTTAAATTCATTGGGGTGTCTACTTTCCAAAAAGGGGTCATTTGGGCATTTCAGGGCCTCCGAAAATGTGATGGGTAGTGAGGAAGTGAAATGAAGAAGTTACGCACCTTCCGGGTTTCAAAGTGGTCAGTGGATTTCAAGTTCCTGTATGTGGCTAGGCTCCAAAAAAGTCTCACACATGTGGTATCCCCATACTCAGTATAAGTAGCAGAATGTATTTTGGGGTGTAATTCCACATATACCCATGGCATGTGTGAAGGAGATAAGTATTTGATCCCCTTCTGATTTTTAATGTTGCCCACTCACAAAGAAATGATCAGTCTAAAAATCGAATGGTAGGTGTATTTGCCACCAAGTACTAAGTCATGTTTTGTGAAGGGGATCACATACTTATTTCTCTCATGCACATGCAAATCAGTGCATAATTTGTTAGACATGCATTTCTTTTGAATTTTTGGTTGCTATTCTGTCTCTCAGTGTTACAATACACATACCATTCGATTTTTAGACTGATCATTTCTTTGTGAGTGGGCAAACATTCAAAATCAGCAGGGGATCAAATACTTATTTCCTTCACTGTATCATTTAAGTGACATCTTTATATAAAAAAAAAAAAATGTTTTTGTCATTTTCCAAAAACTTGTGTAAAAAAAAGAAATCTTCCATGGACTAAATATGCCCCTCAGCAGATAGCTTAGGGTGTCTACTTTCTGAAAAGGGGTCATTTGGGGGTGTTTGTACTGTCCTGGTATTTTAGCACCTCAAGAAATGTGATAGGCAGTCAGAAAGTAAAAGCTATGTAAATTCCATTATCTATACCATAGTTTGTAGATGCTATAACTTAGACACAAAGCAATCAATATACACATGTGAGCAGAGGGACCTTGCGGGCACTGCAGGATTTCAATCCTTGTCGGTGTAGTGTGTTACCAATTGTTATCTTGGTGACTGTGGTCCCAGCTGCCTGGAGATCATTGAAAAGATCCTCACGTGTAGTTCTGGGATGATTCCTCACTGTTCTCATGATCATTGACACTCCACGAGGTGAGATCTTGCATGGTGCACCAGACCTAGGGAGACTGACAGTTGTTTTGTGTTTCTTCCATTTGTGAAGGATTGCACTAACTGTTGTCACCTTCTCACCAAGCTGCTTGGCGATAGTTTGGTAGTCCAGTCCAGCCTTGTGTAGGTCTACAATCTTGTCCCCGACATCCTTGGATAGCTCTTTGGTCTTTGCCATGGTGGAGAGTTTTGAATCTGATTGTTTAATTGCTCCTGTAGTAAGGTGTCTTTTATACAGGTAACAAAATGAGATTAGCAGCACTCCCTTTAAGAGACTGATTCTAAATTGCAGTATCTATACCATAGATTGTAGATGCTATAACTTTCACACAAAGCAATCAATAAACACTTATTGAGATTTTATTTTACCAAAAACATGCAGCAGAAAACATCTTGGCCTAAATTTATGATGAAATTTGAGTTTACTATACATTTTTTATAGCCGAAAGTAAAAAATTTTTTTTTTTTTTCTTTCAAAATTATCGGTCTTTTTTTGTTTATAGCAAAAAAATAAAAAGCGCACAGGTGATCAAATACCACTGAAAAAAAGCTCTATTGTGTGAAAAAAGGACATAAATTTCATTTATGTACCGTATTGTATGACCGCACAATTATCAGTTAAACTAGTGCAGCACTGTATAGAAAAAAAATGGCGTAAATTGCAGTATCTATACCATAGTTTGTAGACACTATAACTTTCACACAAAGCAATCAATATACACTTATTGGGATTCTTTTTACCAAAACATGTAGTAGAATAAATTTTGGCTTAAATTTATGACTTTGAGCTTGCTATATTTTTTTTTTATAGACGAGAGTAAAAAATATCATTTTTTTTCAAAGTTTTCAGTCTTTTTTTGTTTATAGCACAAAAAATGAAAAGCTCACAGGTGATCAAATACCACTGAAAGAAAACTCTATTTGTGTGAAAAAAGGACATAAATTTCATTTGGGTACAGCATTGCATGACTGCGCAACTACCAGTTGAAATAGTGCAGCGCAGAATAGCAAAAAGAGGCCTGGTCAGGAAGGGGGATAAATCCTTAGGAGGGCAAGTGGTTAAAGTAAGGCTTAAATATAATATACTGTATTTTTCATCTCTGGTCATCTCCTGTACTGTGTCTGCAGTCTCTGGTCATCTCCTGTACTGTGTCTGCAGTCTCTGGTCTCTCCTGTACTGTCTGCAATCTCTGGTCATCTCCTGTACTGTCTGCAGTCTCTGGTCATCCCCTGTACAATCTCTACAGTCTCTGGTCATCTCCTGTACTATGTCCGCAGTCTCTGGTCATCTCCTGTACTATGTCCGCAGTCTCTGGTCGCCTCCTGTACTATGTCCGCAGTCTCTGGTCGTCTCCTGTACTATGTCCGCAGTCTCTGGTCGTCTCCTGTACTATGTCCGTAGTCTCTGGTGGTCTCGTGTACTGTGTCCGCAATCTCTGGTCATCCCCTGTACTGTCTGCAGTCTCTGGTCATCTCCTGTACTGTCTGAAGTCTCTGGTCATCTCCTGCACTACGTCAGCAGTCGCTGGTCATCTCCTGTACTACGTCTGCAGTCTCTGGTCATCTCCTGTAGTAGGTCTGCAGTCTCTGGTCATCTCTTGTACTGTGTCCGCAGTCTCTGGTCATCTCTTGTACTGTCTGCAGTCTCTGGTCATCTCCTGTAGTAGGTCCGCAGTCTCTGGTCATCTCCTGTACTGTGTCCACAGTCTCTGGTCATCCCCCGTGCTGTGTTCGCAGTCTCTGGTCATCTCCCGTGCTGTGTCCCCAGTCTCTCATCATCTCCCGTGCTGTGTCCGCAGTCTCTGGTCATCCCCTGCGCCGTGTCCGCAGTCTCTGGTCATCCCCTGTGCCGTGTCCGCAGTCTCTGGTCATCCTCTGCGCCGTGTCCGCAGTCTCTGGTCATCTCCTGCGCTGTGTCAGCAGTCTCTGGTCATCTCCTGCGCTACATCAGCAGTCTCTGGTCATCTCCTGCGCTACGTCAGCAGTTTCTAGTCATCTCCTGTACTATGTCCGCAGTCTCTGGTCATCTCCTGTAGTAGGTCTGCAATCTCTGGTCGTCTCCTGTACTGTGTCCGCAGTCTCTGGTCATCTCCTGTACTGTGTCCGCAGTCTCTGGTCATCCCCTGCGTTCCGCAATCTCTGGTCATCCCCTGTGCCGTGTCCGCAGTCTCTGGTCATCCTCTGCGCCGTGTCCGCAGTCTCTGGTCATCTGCGCTGTGTCCGCAGTCTCTGGTCATCTCCTGTGTCAGCAGTCTCATCTCCTGCGCTACATCAGCAGTCTCTGGTCATCTCCTGCGCTACGTCAGCAGTTTCTAGTCATCTCCTGTACTATGTCCGCAGTCTCTGGTCATCTCCTGTAGTAGGTCTGCAATCTCTGGTCGTTCCTGTTTTTTCTCTGGTCATCTCCTGTACTATGTCTGCATCCATCTAAATCTCTAAAACCTAGGTGTGTCTTATGGTCAGGTGCATTTCATGGAGCGAAAAATACAGTATATATTTTTAGTTTTGGATAGAGTGGAGAGGGGTTAAAACACCTGTCAGGTCTGTATCCGTGTCCCTGTTAAGGACCCCCTATCTATTTGCCATCTTTCACAGCTATCTCCCAGAGTGAAAGTGAACATTAAGTCCAATTTTGGGCTCTCACTTGAGCAGGAATAGAAGGGAGATCTTCTTATCCGGTGACACTAGTTCTGGCAACCACCAAGGATTCCCTCACTTTTTAGGAATTCCCTCTCACTTCCTGTTTTAGATATGAACAGGAATTGAAATCACCCCAATGGGACACAGATGGCAAAAAGCTGGCATAGGTTATAATCCTCCCTTACTCTATCCAAAATGGAAAAAAGTTTTGCCTTTAGTTTATGTTAAATAAATGAAGTGGTAAAAGGGACGTTCCCATTCCTGCTCAGCAGGGCGGTGCCCTCAGTTCCATGTATGTAGTATAGCAGAGCCATGTACAGTAAAGAAGGTATAGCCTTGGCTGCCAGCCTGACCCTTGTCGGGTTTCCCTGAGTCAACCCCTCCCCCTCAACGACGTCACTAGGAAGTGCCTGGCTCCTTATACAGGCGCCGCTCGCCGTTCTCTCACACACGCACTACTCGCTATGGCTCCGGTTCTGTCACTGCTAGGGGGCTGTTGCCGGGTGACCCTGACTGCGGGTAGGAGGCTGGCAGGGAGCCCCTGGCCACCTCTCTGGCTGCATCGCCTCTCAGCTAGTTATTCCAGTGGCCCGGAGAACGGCGACATGAGGAGATACCTGAGCGAGCACTACAAGGAGGCGAGGAGAGGCATCAATGGTGAGAGCAGAGCGTCTGTCATTCCACCTCAGGTGACCCTTCCCTGGTTGGAGGGGTGTGTGTAGGGATCGCAGGACAACCATCACCCATAGCAATCATCCTCAGTGTGTGCTCTGTATAGTACAGTGTATGGAGGAGCTCTGTATAATGTCATTACCCATAGCAACCTCTCTGTGTGTATAGTACAATCACCCATAGCAACCCTTCTGAGGGTGAGCTCTGTACAGTACAGTGTATGGAGGAGGTGTGTGTCACTCATAGCATCCCTTCTGAGTGTGTGCTCTCTATAGAACAATGAATGGAGGTGTGTGTCACCCATATCAAGCCTTCAGAGTGTGTGCTCTGTACAGTGGATGGAGGAGGTGTGTGTGTCACCTATACCAACCCTTCTGCGTGAGTGTGTGCTGTCTATAGTACAAAGAGAGATGTGTGTGTGTGTGTGTCTCCCATAGCAAGGCTTCTGAGTGTGTGCTCTGTACAGTGTATGAAGGAGGTGTGTGTCACCCATAGCAAGCCTTCTGAGTGTGAACTCTGTACAGTACAGTGTATGGAGGAGATGTATGTGTGTGCGTCACCCATAGCAACCGTTCTGCATGTGAGCTCTGTAAAGTACAATGTATGGAGGAGATGTGTGTGTGTGTCACCCATAGCAACCCTTTCCGAGTGTGTGCTCTCTGTAGTAGAATGTATGGAGGAGGTGTTTTTGTGTGTGTCAGTCACCCATCGCAAGCATTCTGCATGTGAGCTCTGTACAGTACAATGTATGGAGGAGGTGTGTGTCACCCATAGCAACCCTTCTGAGTGTGATCTTTGTATAATGCCATCACCCATAGCAACCTTCTCAGCGTGAGCTCTGTGCAGTACCTTGTATGGGGGCACTATTTATAGTGCCATCACCCATAGCAACCCTTCTGATTGTGAGCTCTGTATACTGCCATCACCCACAGCAACCCTTCTCAGTGTGAGCTTTGTATAGGGCCATGTATGGAGGGGGTGTGTGAGTCTCCCATAGCAATCCATCCCAGAATCTGCCTTTGCAGGTATATCATGAGATGTGATTGGTTGCTAGAGGCATTACGCACATCTGTCAGATGCCCCCCCCCCTACATGGACAGTGATCCTGCAGAAATGAAGGTATTTTTTCACCTCACCATGAATTAAGACAATCCTTCAAGTAGACTAGTGGTGCTCCTATTTTCAGCAGATCTCTCTGGCAGAAGCACAATGTGCAGATATCCAGCTCAGTACGAATGACATTTTTGTACTTTCATTTAGAATGAATGCACTTAAGCTTTTAATTGGAAGTTGTGGCTGTCTTATAATTTTGCTGCACACATTTTACATTTTCTTCTGTAGACCATTACTCTGCTTACTTTACATCCTATCTCAGGTCATTAATTTAAAAAAAAAAAACTTCATTGTCTTTCCACTCTTACAGCTGTTGAAAAATGTAGTGCTCAGTTTACTAGACGGTCCAATAGGAAGTAATCCATGGCCCTGCAGTCTTCCTAACTACCAGTTTCAATTGCGATGACTGGTCTCGTTGCATCTTTCTCTGTCACCGGTCTGAGTTCTGGACTAGCAATGACCAGTGATTCTGTATTGTCCCTTGGTGGCAGTTGAAGTATTCCTCTCTATTAGATCATCTCCTGGTTATATTATTTTTTTTTTATTTTTCTTTTGCTACGGTTATTTATACAGTGTTGACAATTTATGGAGCACTTTATGTACATTTTACATTGGTCCCTGCCGTCAAGGAGCTTACAGTCCAAGGTCCTTGCCTCACAAATATACTTTCACATACTAGGGCCAACTTTCGAAGCCAATTAACCTAACAGCATTTTTTTGGAGAGTGGTAGGAAACTGGATTACCTTGGAGGAAACCTACACAAGCTCAGGTAGTACATGTGGGCAGTGTTTTGTCTGGGATTTGAAGACTCCATTGGTCCAAGGCAGTGATTCTGTATGAGTTAGAGGGTTGACAGTGTGAAGTTGTTTTTAATGCCAGAGCTCTACTTAAAAAAAACAAAACAAAATAGTGATTCTAGTCCAATACTCCGTCCAGTACCATGAAGCTCTGTACACAACACAAGTTGTGGTGCTACGGAAGTGCTGTGTACATAGCTAAAAGTGGTTACCCCTTGACTGATGATATGCATGTAATTTTCCAGGTCACTGATCCAACAAGTAGTGAAGAGGTATAGGGTTCCAAATGCAGTCCTGCTGATGGGCTTATTTCGTTAGAGAGATGGATTGCATTGCAGTATGCTTTAAAAGTTCAAGGAGGCTGGTTTTTTTTTTTTTTTTGTTCCCTTGTTTTCAGTCTTTAGTTCAAACCAAAGGAAAGAAGACCTTAAACACCCCTTGCAACATGGTAAGACGGGCTAAAGTGCACATTGTACTAGAGGCATCTCTGCACCTATTAAAGGACTTATCGACACCAGATGTCACTCATGCTAGTTTCCCTTCTGGTTGTCTGGTTATGACTAGTACTTGACTTGAAGCATGTTCATCTGCCAGTAATCCTCAAATATGTATATGTAATGTTTCAAGGAAACGTTTGCCTGGAATGTGTCATCTGGAAGTCAAAGGCAAACCATTTTCATACAAAGTTGGCATATGTATACATGTATTTCCTGCCAATGTATTTGTCATTGTATTCAGTCACTCTTCACACAGCCTCGTTATGCTGCAAAGCCAGGAGGGTGATACTATTTCATGTTGCAACTTCCCAGAGTCACCTGCTTGTTTATATGACAATGAGTGAGCATTTAGAAATTGTTGATAGTTCATCCTTTCCTTTACCTGTAGCTCTGTTTTTGAATTTTGAATCAAATGAGTCACAACCTGCTTGATTTGCATGTTTATTTTCTCTCTACTTTTTCATGTAATATGAATGACTTGAAGTTGAATGTGCTGGGTCTTATTTAGCCCCACTTCCTGTGAGCCCAGGTTGTCACGATGTTTCATCATCACACAGCCAACTAACAAAAGCGTGCTGCAGAGAACGGTGCTCACATGTCACCCTTCTCTGCATCATTAAAGGAGAAGTATGGCCAAAGCCCTTAGTTCTGAACTTCTGTGACCCAGATTCAGAGAACAGAGGGCTAAAGCCTGCTGGCAGCGGACGTCAGAGTTGGTTTAGGCTCTGCTGGGATCCCGATAATGTTGGCATTCGCCCAGATGCCTGACTGGCAGCTGACTCACTCTGAGTGTCTGAGCCAGCCGCTTCAGCCCCCTCCACAGTACAGGGCTCCAGTAAGCGCTTTAGGTTCAGACAGTCACTGACAGTCACTGCTCTGTACTCAGATCAGACCTGAGAACTAAGTGATCAGTGGTCTTTGATAGCATAGTTCTCAGTGTAGTGCTATCAGAGGACAGCTGCTACACTGGACTGATGCTGCAGCCATTTACGGGAGTATGTATGTATGTATGGTGTTTTTTTTTTGTTTGTTTTTTGTTTTTGTTTTTTAAATTTAAATTCCTGCACTTTTCTTTAAGGCTAGGTTCACACTTGTGTGAATGATTGCTGCTTCGTGACCGCACTCCCGCAGCAGGAACCACCTACTCAGAAAAAAACTCACTGCCACTCAGGAGATGCGTATGGATGCCATTAATCCTAATGCCACTCACACACACTGGAAATCTCAGCTCTGCTTTCCGCACTGGGAAACTCGCTGCACTTCTGTTTCTGTGCAGGCTGCAGTTTCAAATATGGTGCAGGGACCTTTTGCTTGCGTTTTCAGGAGTCATGGCAGCCCATTCAATTGATTGGGCTGCTGTGCCTGCAGAAAACATAGCTCTTAGAGTTGCTAAAGTGTGCATCTAGCCTTATAGCAAAACTAAAATGTGAGTGGCTTCACAGTTCCTTGGCACTGTCCCGCTGCACTTTGCGCAAAGTGCAGCAAACCCACTTTGAGGTCCCACTGTTTTGGTGTGTTTACAGAAAGTGTACCAAAGATGCAGCATGCAGGAGTTTTGGTGTGTTTTCTGAAACTGCACCAAAACCGAAGGACCTAAAAGTCTATGGGAAAGCTCAACCAACCCGCATGAAAACCATGGGTTGGCTGTGCTTTAGCAAAAGTGTGACGCTTCCCTAAATATAACAATATGCAGGCAAGCTCTTTATTGTAGATGAATCATGCTATCTCTCTGCTTCCAAAAGAAAAAAAAAAATGTACCTGTCTGTTTGCGGTCTTCTTTAGAATGTGCACTGAACTGCGCATGTATAGCTTTTTGTAATTTCTTGGCACACCTCGAAGCTGAAATGAATAAACCTGTGTGCACACGGGTGGGTTGCGTCGTTCCCTGCAGGTCATTCAAAATGCCTAAAGACTGGGAACCTGGAGGACGCAGAGGAAAAAATATTGGTACCACTGAGGGTAGGTGAGTATCTGTGGACTTTAGTTCTGTAAAGTGTGAACCTTTACTGTAACGGAACCGGACCCAGACTGCACTTGGGTATTTCCCATTATACTGCAGCTTCCCTGTCCGAACACAAATCCCCAGACACCACCCGCTGATCATGCAGGAAATAGACCGCACCAGGCTTCTCTTACGACAGGAAGTCACCTCCTTTATTTTTACACACACACACAAGATATATACACAGGGCAGGGAAACCCAACCAGGAACAGGAAAAGCATCATCAGCCCGCCCCATCAGTGGGAAGGGCTACAGGAACCACCCCCCCCACCCAACCAAGACACAGAACAATGGGATGCAGCACCTGGCAGTGAACAATGGACAACCACTTAGTGGAGAACAATGAACAATCCCCACACCAATACACAGTACTATGACATTCACACCTTGTACCCCTTAACAGGCACAGGGTGGGTTAAACATATTGAAGGGAACATGAGCTGACACAGGGGTCCCCCTACCCCCAAAAGTCACTCCTGTCACATTTACCTTCTAAAACAACCCATTCAGTTTAAAACAGAAATGCAAGGCAATACGTGTATATGTAAAAAAAAAAAAAAAAAAAAAAAAAATGA